GTACAGGAACCAAGGGATGGAAAGAGCCATGAGCTTCTCACCGTCAGCCCCAGTGACCCACTAGAGGAATTCGTGCTTCCCATTCCTATATCTTTAGGCTCTGTAGGATTAGAAGCCCTAGTCCCTAGGGTGGGAGATGTGTCTGCCAGGGGTCACAGTAAGGGTACCACCAAACCTAAGGTGCTAGCAGCCTCTGGGTCCCTTTGGGAACCTCATGCCAATTCACCAACAGGCAAAGAAAAGAGTTATACTGGCAAAGACGTTTGCTCTTGATTAGCCCATGTCCAGTGGGAAGCATGACCGCAGGTGCAGAATGCTGGCCTGTCGAAGGCATGGGAAGGAAAGGCCCTCGGGGGTGAAGGTCCGGGCTTTTCTACCGTGAGAGCCCCACAGACGACAGAGGAACCGTGGAGGAAGGAGATGTGGAATATCGATATTGGTCACAGCCCAGCCGCTGCCCTGAGGACTCAGTGAAAGGGCAGAGTGGGCACGGGGACACATGGGTCTGAGCAGTACGGAGGGTGGACTGCAACTGTGACCCGATCCTCCAGCACCCAACCCCACAGGCCGACGGCGACATCTGTGACTCTGCCTGAGGGCTTTTTTCTGGCTGTGGGAGCCTGTGTGCACTGAGCTAGCCAGCAATGCTGATGGGTCGGTGCTCCCCGAAGCAGCCCTCAACTTTCAGACAGGAGGCCCACGCCTATGACCCCACTGCCTTTGCCCGTCAGGTGGGATCCTCTGGGACAGGCTCCACACCGCCTTCCAGGGCTCCCCAGCAGGACGGGACCAGCCACTCTGCCCGCTCTGTCTCACACCCTTCCTTGGCTTCCTCCCCCCTCTGGCCTCGGGTCTCCAGCCCCCCAGTGGAGCCTCTTAGCATGACCCCCCAAATAAACTGCTCATACTGAAAGCCTTGACTCGACATCTGGTTTTAGGGAACCCCACTGTCTTAGCTCAGGCTGCTGTAACAAGTTACCATGGCCTGGAAAGTTTAAACAACAAACACGCGTTTCTCTCAGCACTGGGGGCCAGCAGATCCGGTGTCTGGCGAGGGCTCGCTTCCTGCCCTGCAGACGGCGGCCTTCCCACCAGAGTCGCCCGTGGGGGAGCACAGGGAGAGAAGCAAGCTCTCCCGAATCCCTTCTTATAAGGGCAAGACTGTCATCATGGGATTACCTCCCAAAAGCCCCATGTCCAAAACCATCACACTGGGGATTAGGGCTTTAACATATGGATTTGGGGGGATGCAAACCTTCATTCCGTAGGCACCTAGCTAAGACTTATGGGAGAGAATCGGGCATTGATCCTACCTTTCCTGAATGGATCTAAGTCAGGGTGACAATCATCAATGAGGGACATTTTTCTTTATGGAAGAGTTCACAGCTAATCATAAAGGAAGGAAGAATGACAAAATTAGAATGTCTCTATTTTGTGCTCCTAATGAAATAATGCATCCAGACAATGATCACCAGTAGCCATTAGATAAAAATGTGTGGGTGTACTGGGTCAGGTGGTGGCCACAAAAAGATATGTCCACCTCCAAATCCCTGAAACCTGTGAATGTTAACTTGTTTGGAAAAAGGGTCTTTGTGGATGTAACTCATTACATGAATTTATTCCTGAAAGTCAGTCAATGGTTTTGAGATGAGATCATTCTGGATTAGCCAGGTGGGGTAAATCCAATGACAAGTGTCCTCAGGAAAGACAGAAGAAGAGGAGACCCAGACACACAAAGAGGAGGAAGCAATGTGATCACAGACAGGCAGAGATAGGAGCAATGCAGCCGGAGACACCAAGGAATGCCACCTGCCACCAGAAGAAGGAAGAAGGAAGGAAGAATTCTCCTCAGCGTCTACAGAGGGAGGGCCACACTGCCAACACCGGGAGTGTGGACTTCCGGCCTCCAGACCAGTAGAAGAATACATTTCTGTTGTCACAAGCCATCATGTTCGTGGTAATTTGTTGCAACAGCCATAGGCAACTGGCCCAACAAGGAACTTTGTAATGAATCGATCAGGCCGACAGCAGCAAAATTTACTGATCAACCGTAGCATCGACAAACAGACACCGTGTGCCTTCTGATGTGACGAAAGAGGAAACATACAGTCTTACTTATGAAATACTCCTGGGAGAAAAAGGAACGTACGTTTAATCAAACTTCTAAATATAATGACAGGGGACAGAGGAACATGTGAAATGACACTACAAGGATACACTCAGCCCAATCTAGCATGTGGGAGACTCGACAGGAAAACAACCCAGTTTCCTAAAAAAACAAACAAACAAACAAAATGGCATAGAAAACATGAAGGAGGAAGAAGTATTACAATTTAAAAGATATTTTTAAAAAAATTAACCAAGGGGCGCCTGGGTGGCTCAGTTGGTTGAGCGTCCAACTCTTGATTTCGGCTCAGGTCGTGATCTCAGGATCCCAAGATCGAGCCCCACGTGGGGCTCCGCACTCAGCGAGGAGTCTGCTTGAGATTCTCTCTCTGCCCCTCCACCTGTTTGCGTGAGCTCACTCTCGTTCTCTCTAAATGAATAAATAAAATCTTTAAAAATAAATAAATGAAAATTAACCAAGAAAAATTCATCAAATGCAATGAGTAGCCCTTACTTGGATCCTGGTTTGGGCAAATCAACTATTTTTTAGACATTCAAGGGAAATTGATCTATGAAGTATATATTAGATAATGTCAGTTGAGGGGGGATGTGATAATGGAATTATGGTTATTTTTAAAAGTCACTATATGTTAGAAATACATAGTGAGAATTAACAGGTGAAATAATAGGCTGTCTGAGATTTGCTTTAAAATACTCCAGCACAAACGAACACGAGTGAGGGAATTCATGAAACCAGAAGGGTGGACTTTTGAAATGGTCAAGCTGGATGATGAAGTGGTCCACCATCCCAGTCTCTCTCTTTTTGCGTATGTTTGAAGTTCTCCATAATAATAATAATAATAATAATAAAATTGTAATAGCAGTGTGGAGAATAGTTGTAAAAATTAGTAGGCATGTGTTTTCGTGGGTGGAAAAACAAGGCTTTGCAGCAAATGGAAAGTTCCTGTGACCATTTCCCATCTGGTCTCTGGACAAAGTTGAGGGCATTGTACAGAAGGAAAGCCATCTTCCTTCAGGGAAGCTGTGGGGCCCAGCATCTCGACTTTCTGGGGCTCTGACTCCATAACAGACCAGAACTTAGAAAACCCAGAAGGGCCGTGGAGGAGGAGGTGGCTGCCAGCATGTTCCAGAATCTAGGCTGCCGCCCTCAGTGCCTGTCTGTGGTGGAGCTGGGGCTGGTCCTGTAGGGACAGTTGCCGGTTTACTTCTAGGCCTGAGTAGGGTTGCTCTTTCCTGCCCCCTTGTGGTTGAGCGAAGCCGTGCAATTAGTTCTAGAGAAACTGTTGTCAACAGAACAGACAGGTGTCTGGGCCAGAGCTATTCACTGTGGATGTAAGACCTCCCAGAGCTCTTTCTACTTTTTCCTTCCGGTGTGGTGATTGGCAGCGTTGGAGATGGTGGCTGCTCTATCAGCCTGGGGCCCTGAATAACTAAGAAGAACCCCCTTGTTGACCACGATGCACAGGTAGCCTAAGGGAGAAATGATCTTGTTTTAAGCCACTGCTGTTTGGAGGTTGTTACCACAGCAGGGCTGAGTATATCCTGATGAACACAGCGCCATACAGCAACCAATCCTACAGGCTACCTGGGAAGAACCCCAATAATAATTATTGTTGATGTTCTGTTATCATTAGCGTTACCATAATAATCATCAATTATTACAGGTACCATTCACAAGAGCCTCTATTGTGTGCCAGGCACATGGTGCCCCGCACATTGTTTCAGTTACCCCTCGGGGCAAGCTCCGGAGGCAGATATTCGTATCCCACAGCCAAGAAGAGGAAAGCAGAGCTTACGAACTGCCACAGATTCTCCACTTGCAGTGTAAGAGTTACTGAAGATGTTCGTTCCTTTATATAAAATCCCACGGGATGAATTCTCTTTAGCAGTTACAGCAAGAACCCTCCTGGAAAGCAATTTCACGACATGTATCAAGCAAAGTTCGTACCCTTTGCTCCAGTAATCATTCACCAGCTCAAGCTTGTGGTGGAGTTAGATTGCTTGAACAGTAAAATGAATAAACTAATTAATTAATTAAAATAACATATATACTAGAGAAAAACGAATTAATGGCATTTGAGCTTGTCTCTTGAGTTACTGGTACGTTTCCTTGAGCCAGATGTTAATGCTCCTGGTCCGTCCGTCCCCCTCTCGCCTAGGGGGTGGCGAGTGCACATCAGGTATCAGCCCCGCGGTGGGCTCGGTGGCGGGGCTGCTGGCCGCCTCCTCCCTGCGCAGGGTCGGTCTCCCGTCAGCTGAACAGTGGTTTGAGTTTCCTATACAGGACCGGAGACTGGCAGGATATAAACACATTCCTAAATACGTTTAGGTTCATCTTTGTTGGTTCTGTCGTGCGCTCCGGGAGACTGGAACCAGAGTCTCAGGTGGGTGCGTGGCGCCCCCGCGTGGGGCCCGGCGCAATAGCACCCGCGTTCTCCCACGTCCACGCCTGGCTAGGCTGCCCGCGGTGCCTGCAGTCCCCCCTCCACCTGTGGGGCCCCCTCCCCGCAATCCCCACGGTCCGGCAGGCTCGCCCCAGAAGCAGGAGCCCCACCTCTGACCGCCTATCTCGGCGCGCGGCCGGCCGGCTGGGCCCGAGGCGGCCCCACCCCCTCCACCCACCCCCCTACCCCCCTCCACCTCCGACTAGACGCAGGAAGTCCTCAAGTTACTGGGCTGCTGGGCACAGAAGTCGGTTAATGCCCTGGGCGCCCGTCCGCCCCCAGCAGCGGCCGCGGGTGCGCGCGAACGGCCGCCGGCCGGGCGGGATCCGTGCGTCCGAGGTCCCGCCAGGCATCGCCACCTCCCCTCCGACGCCCGGCCCGCCGGGACCCCCGGCCGTGGTGGGCTACGGGACGGGGACGGCGGCGGTCCTACTCCGAGTAGCAGTAGGTCCCGAAGGCCGCCTGCTGGGCTCGCGGGAAGCCGAAGCTGCGCACGCCCGGGTCCGGGAGGCCCCCGCAGCGCGGCCGCGGCGACGTGATGGGGAAGCGCACGCTGCCGTCCGCCAGCCAGCCGCCGTCGCACTGGTCCAGCCCCGAGAACTTCCAGGCGGCGTAGAGGTGCCCGACCTTGGCCACCGTGGCCCCGCGCCGCCTGCACGCCGCGTGCGCTTCCGACAGCGTCAGCCGCCCGGGCACAAAGAACACGTGGCCTGCGGAGCGGGCCGCGTCACCACCCGCCCGGGCCGAAGCCTCCCCGGGACCGAGGCGGCGTCGCGGTGGGGCGGGGGGCGGGAGAGGGGGGAGCCTGGCGGGCGCGGCGACGGAGGGCACCACGCGCGGTCTCGACGGCGAGGCCGGGCCCCCTCCGGACGCGCGCATCTCGCCCTGAGCGGCATTCTCCAGACCTGCCCCGCGTCCCCGTCGGAGCCGCAGGCGCTGGCTCGCATCCCCGCTCCGCCGCCCGCCTGCCGCCCCGCGTCCTCACCTGCGGTCATGGAAGTGAAGCAGAAGGCGTCGTAGCGGTCGCGCTTCCGGTCGCGGGGCCCGTAGCTGCGGATCCCCGGCCGCCCCGGGCCGCCGCACGGGGCGCGCGCCGTGAGCACCGGGTAGCGCACCGAGCCCTCGAGCAGCCAGCCCGCGTTGCACCAGTCCAGGCCCTCGGTCCACGCTGGCGGGCAGGGGGAGACGGGGTCCGGGGTCAGAGGGGTCCCCTCAGAAGCCTGACCGGAGCTCGACCCCCGCGGGGCCGGGTACATCCTGGAGAGGCCTGGGCGGGGCGGGGCGCGGGGCGGCCACTCACCCTGGTACAGCTGGGCGTAGGTGGCCAGACGCCCGTCCTGCTCCTCACACGCTTGTTTCGCCTCGTAGTAATTGAACTGGTACCGGCCCCGGCTGGGCTGGTACGGAAACACCACACCTGGCGGGAGGCGGACATCCTGGAGAGGGCCGGCGGACCGGGGAGGGGCTGGGGCACCCCGGCAGCGGGCGGGGGGAGCCCTGGGAGGCCGGAGCTGGGGCGGCGGGGAACCCAAGGGCCTTACCCTCCAGGCGCAGAGTCAGCGCCACGCTCTCGTCCTCGATGCCGTTGATAAGCTCACAGCGGTACCTGCCCTCGTCCTCCAGGCGCACGCCCTCGATGACCAGGGAGGCGTCCAGCCGATGCCCCCTCCGCATCCTGGCGCGACCCCCCAGGGGCCCGTAGCCCCGGGCTTGCAGGCCGTTGGTGATGAGGATCGGAGTTTCCCGGAGCTCCCCCGGCTCCACTTTGCTCCAGCGTACCTTGTAGCTGGGAGGCGGGGCGCCCAGGACGCAGGGCAGCGTGGCCGTGGCCCCACGACGAGAGTGAATGACCTCGTGGATGGGGGGCAGGAGGTAGTGGGGGCCAGGGTGGGGTGCTGAGCAGAGGGGGCCACAGTGGCAGGAACCCCCTGACCCCCACTGCAAGTGCCCATCCAGACTCTACTCCCCAGACTCCTCCAACCGTCTCCTCCATGGCGCACTCAACAGTGGCCCTCCCTGAGCACCTCCAACAGCTGCCCCATCCATCTTCCCCACACCTGGAGCCTCTCCCCCCACCGTTCCCCAAATTCTGGGCGGGGCTGAGGTCTTACCTGTGTCCCCCAGGGCTTTGTGGAAGATGGCGAAGGCCCAGAGGAGAAGGAAACGGCAGAGTGTTGGGAGACTGAGCGGGCCTGGCATGATGGCGAGTAGGCCCAGCGCCGTCTGCAGGGCACAAAGAGTGGGCATTTCTTGGGACTAGGAATGGGGGGAGGGAGCAGGGTTGGAGATGAACCCCCATCCAGTAGGGATCCCTTAGAGGGGGCTGTCCAGCTGGAAAGCGTGGGGGCAGAGCAGGGGGCTGGAAGAGGCCAAAGGAAGGTGATAGGGGAAGGGGCAGTAACGAACTCCCTTCCCCCAGGCCTCCCGGGCCGGTCCCCTTCCGCCCCTCCCTTCAGACGCCAGGTCCAGAGTTGGCGCCGCCTCCCCGCCCCGACCCGTCACAGGTGCTGCTTCCCGAGTCCCGCCGCCAGGCCCGCCGCCACAGTCTTTCACCTCTCCCAACTCCGTCCTCCAGAGGAGCCAGAGCAAACGCGAGCTTGTCACTCTCCTGCTTAAAGCACTGGCCCCCTTTGCCCTGAGGATATAGTCTGGTCTCCTAACCGCGGCTTGCAGGGCCCTCTGGGCTCCCGCCTCTCCCTGTGCCTTCCACATTGCCTCCACTTGCTGTGCCCTCAGCACTGTGTTCCAGACCCCTTGGACTTCTGGCTCCAAAAGAGTCCGAATTCACTCTCACCTCCTCCCAGGCGTCACTGTGGGCCTCACCTCCTCTGGGAAACCCCTCCTCTTCCCTGGTTGGCCACACTGTAGTGCGCCGTGACCTGCTCTTCTGGGTCCCCTGCGGCACCGGCCTGGGCACTCGTTCTTGGAAGTGCTTTTGTTAGCGGCTGAACTAGCAGTGCGGATTTGAAAGTAATACCTGTGCACTGTAGACTGTATCAGGGAGGTTTCCGGTGATTATAGTTACAGAACTAATTCCAAACACAGCTTTCTATTTCAGTAGTGTATTTCCCCCCTTTTTCTTTTATTAGACTCCATGCCCAATGTGGGGCTCGAACTCACGACCCTGAAATCAAGAGTCGCAGGCTCTGCAGACTGATTCAACCAGGCGCCCCCCCCACCGATCTTTCCCTTCTTTATTGTTATCTGTTCTTTATCAACTTTACCATTTTTTAAAAATAGGGCTGAGGACACCTTAACCTAGCTTTATTCGTTTTCCAACTCTGATTCTTCTAAGTGCTAATTGCATGACTTTGAACGAGTTATTTACTCCTCTCTTCCTCAGTGTCCTCATCAGTAAACATGCGGATAATAATTCCCACCTATCTCACCGAAGGAACACGCGTAAAATGCTTAAAATCGTGTATGGTATATAGTAAGTGCCATGTATGTGTTAGCGATTATCTGCAGCACCCAGCATAGTTTCTGGCACACAGTAGGTGCTAAATAAATGTGTGTGCATGTTAATGAATGAGCCCACACTAAGGATTCTGGGAAGGTGAGCTGGGACGTGGGGAGAGTTGGAAGCCAACTGGCTGAGCCTCTCCTCCTGCAACTGAAGGTGCGCCCGGCTTGCCCCAGGAGAAATGGGGGCTGGGCTCCGAGGGCTTCCCAGCTGCTAGAGGGAAGGTACCTGGGCGGGGACACGCCCTGTGCACCTGTGCCCGCCGGCCTGGTGAGAAGGGGCACCCACCGGGAGACCTGCGTGAGACCGCCCCAGCACTTCCCACGTGTATCTTGTATTTACTCCTCTCAGCAAGGACGTGAGGTGGGAATGATTACGCGGCCCCTTTTACTCCTGCTTAAAGTTGCACAAGTTATAGGAGACTTGAGTGAGGTCACACAGCTAGTAAGAGGAAGGTTTGCTGGGATTTAAACCCGGATTTGACCGCAGGCTCAAGCTCTTTCTTAACCGCTGGGCTGTATTTCTGTATTTCAAAGCAGGCACACACATACCCTCTTTGTAGCCCTTGCAGAGAATGAGAAAGCAAACAGCCCCAGTGCCTACCTGTTAGAAGCCGGTCTCTTCACAGAGATGGGAGCGACAGGGACTGGCTGCTTTTTGTCCTGCTCCAGGAAGAGGTCCCAGTGAAGGAGGTGCCTGGGCCCCAGGCAGGTCCAAGCACCTTAGAGCCCTGGGACTTGGGCACCTGATCAGTGCGGTCTCTCCTTTGAGGAAAGGCTTCTGCCCTGAGCTCACAGAAGCAGCCAAGGTGCTGAGAAAACTTTTCCACCTGTCAGTCCACCAAGCCAGGCTAAGTGACTGGTGTCCAGCCTGTGACCGAGCACTATATCTGCACTGCTCACTGTCCTGGGCCTGGGGAAGATGTGGGGCTTGGGTCCAGGGGCGGGGACCCCCGAGGGGATGGAGTGAAGGAGGCACCCAGGAAAGATTACCTGGAGGAATGTGGAGGGTGGGGTGCCTCGTTTCTTCTGGATGTTCTTGGCCCGGAGAAGGAGCAGACGGACTGGTGGGTATGAAGACGTTGGGCCGCTGTGTGCGAGGATGACTGCGGATGAGCTCACAGACCCGTGGTCAAGCTCCCGCAGTCTCTGCATTTCCACATGGGCCTCATCCAAGCAGCACCCCCTTGCCCCCACAGAGTCCTCACCTCTGTCCTCCGGAGCCTGGGTGTGCATTGCCTGTGGGAAGAGGCTCTCAAGGTGGGAACCAGACTTCCAGGACCTCCAGCGGCTTCAAGAAACTGGACCCCTTCTGTCCAGCCCCCTGTCTGTCCATCTGTCTGTCCTTTCCTTTTCTGGCCCCACCCCATCGGAAGCACAATTTCTCATTGTCTCTGTCTTTCCCCCTATTGTTGAATAACAGGGGCCCTTTCTTTATCCTGTGGGCAAAGGCAACGAAATGTCAACAGCTGGGGATGTGGGATGCAGGACCGGCTGGCACACACCACCGGAAAGAGGGCCTAGGTGGGGGCAGGCTCCGAACAGGATGGACATCCCCAGGGAAAAGAGAGTTGGGGGGGCATGGTTGGTGAGAAGGTTGAAATGGGGCCCCTTCCATCCTCAAGCTTCAAGCCTCGGGAGGGATTTGGTGTGAGGCCAGGGATGGCTGGGCTCCGGGGAGGGCAGCATGCATGCTTGGAATTGCAGTGGGAGAGACAGCAGGCAGGTTGGCAACAAGGAGGGGTCTCTGTGGCTGGGAGGAAAATGGGAATTTCTGAGAAGGATTTTGGAAAGCTCTCCAAAAGAAAGGTCAGCTCATTTGTCCCACCACCTCTTAGTGTAAATTCTCAAGAGAAGGGAGGTCCTTAACCTCCCTGGGTGGGAACACACATCTCCACAGTCTCCCCTGGAGTCTAAGCTCTTGCTGGAGTCCACGCTCACTGTTCAAACCTTTCGGTCGAGGTACAATGTACATGTACATGCAAGGAGCACAGATCTTACGCAGACAGCTCAGTAATGTTTACACGTGTACATGCCATGGAACTAACCTCCAGATCAACATACGGAACATTTCTAAAGATTTTTTTTATTGGGGCACCTCGGTGGCTCAGTCGGTGAAGCGTCTGCCTTTGGCCCAGGTCATGATCCCAGGGTCCTGGGATCAAGTCCCGCATCGGGCTCCCTACGCAGCGGGGAGTCTGCTTCTCCTCTGGCCCTCCCCCCTGCTTGTGCTTTCTCTCTCTCTCTGTCAGATAAATAAATAAACTCTTTTTAAAAAGAATTTTTTATTTGAGAGAGAGAGAGCAGGAGTGGGGGAAGGTGCAGAGGGAGAGAATATTCAAGCAGACCCCTACTGAGCACAGAGCCCCACACGGGGCTCGATCCCACAACCCATGAGATCAGGACCTGAGCCGAAACCAACAGTCAGACGCCTAACTGGCTGAGCCACCCAGGTGCTCTTTATACAGAACATTTCAACACCCAGGATAAACCTGTTTCTTTTTTGGTTGCTGTCAGTGCAGAGAGAGGACTCCCTCCAGGAATAACCATTTAGAAACGGTTCCAGCTTCCAATCGCCTCGCAGCCTTCTTTTCTCTCCGCCTGGCAGCCCTATATCAGTAGCTTCGCATTATTAAGATCATGCGCTTTCGGAACCGGAGGGGACCTCAGGACACCTAGCTTCTTCGGGCACCTGACGAAGAGGAGGCGCCAGGTGGGAGAGGGACAAGCCTGCACAGAAGGCAGCTGTGGAGTCAAGCCTGGGACTTGCTGCTGTTCCCGCTCATCCCTCTTCATTGTCTCTCCTGGATTCTCCAAGTCAGGGAGCTGCAGGGCTTTTTGCCAGGCCCACATCTCACAACAGGGAGCCCACCCCACCTGCACGCGCTCCTCTGGGGTTTGATGGAGCATCTTCCCTCTCCTCCATCACTGTTCTCGGGCTGTCCCTCCTCCTCCCAGAGCAGAGAAGACAAACAGCCCCTGTCTCAGGGCCAGGACACCCTGATCCCGTGCATCTCATTGGCCTCCATCCAACTCAGACAAACAGCCTCCCGCAGAGAGGGGGGCACAGAGGCTCTGCCACCACCCCAGGCTCACTCCCACCCTCCTTTCTCCCCAGATTACTTCTGAGTGAGGGTTTGGAAGCCACAGGTATATGAACCGATAAAAGGCTGAGCGTGGCAGGGAGGAAGGCCTGGAGCTCTTTGTTGGAGGCAGAAAGGACCCTGAGACAACGGAGTGGGGAAGGACCAGACCAGGACCAGGAATAAATGTGTGTTGGACAGCCAGATGGCACTCACTTTGCTCAAGGGCGCTTTCATCCCCGTTTCCCCCCCACCCCCCAACTCAGTTCAGCAGGAGGGTAGGTGCTGGGCTTGCTCTCCTGAGTGGTGGTCTTTGCCACTGCCTCTACCAACTGAGCTGGGGGGCGGGGGGCGGTACGGGGATGATCCAGTCCAAGCATGGAGTCCTGACTTCTCTTCCTCTAACACCCAGACTCGGCTTCCAGCCTCCAGGCAGCGTCAGCTGACCACCATTCTTGATCCCTGCTGATGGCAAGCTAGTCCCAGTTTACTATCGGGATTTTGCATGAGGGATGGGGAATGTTGGCAAGATGGCATTTTAGGGGGGGTTGCAGGGAGAGGCTGGGGGTGTCTGGCAGGACCTCCTCTCCTTCTCATGAAGTTCACACACAGCTGCCTCAGCCACCTCCCTGCCTCCCCGAGGCAGAGGTCCCT